AAAGTTTTTTAATTTTGTTACTATTATATTTTTTTATTAAACTAAAAGTTAATAAAATATTTAGTAAAATTTATATTAAAAAGTTTCTGTTTTCAAAATTTCACATATTTGAATTAAAAAAGATCATTATTGTATTTATTTAACTTTTTTTAAATTATAGTGATTAGTATGATTTATTAATAAAAACAAAAATATCTTTTTACATAAAATTATATAAATATATTTTAATATTACATATTAGGTTATTTTTATAGTTTTTGCCAGTTTATTCCATTGGATAATATCCGGGACAATAAAAACCGGAATTTACCATGGTTATTTTCACTCACTGAACTTTTCCGGCCAACCCTGTAAAAAATGCAACAATTGCTACATGTAGAATCGAAGTCTTTTTTTTGCTCATTCTCGATTGTATATTATTTTCTACCATGGAATTAAAACATAATTGTCAATCGGCAGCCAATATCGATAATTATCAGAGCACGCAGTACTCGCTCGTGACGATACGAAGGATCAATAAATCTCGATTTTTAGCAAAATAACAAAAGCATTCATCTGATTTCCATGCAGCTGTCAGCATGCGTGACAGCCGATCGTCTCTCTCTCTTTCTCTCTCTTTAAATATATTTTTGTTTTCATTATAAATTTGCTTCCATTATTTTTTCTCTTTATCTATCGTTTATCTCGTTCGGGCTATTTACGCGCGTATATCGAAGTAATTATTGACCTAATATCGGGTGGGTATTATCTATGGGAGATGTTCTCTACGGGTTGTATTATTGGGCGAATTATAATGTGGATTCGAGAAAAGGTTTAAGGATCGGCAAGAATATCTATTTCTCGAAATCTCTATGCAGATTTTCGCGAAAGATAGTTTGCATCTTTTTTTTTTTTGTCATTTTTGGCGCGTCGCGGCGTGAGCTCGTCCTTCTCATCGACGGTTTCTTTCAACTGAAGGCTGCATGGTAGATCAGGCCTTCTTTTACACTCATAATGTCAACAATAAAACAATGCGCTCTGTTCAGGCGGTTTTCCTTGTTTTCTTTTACGCGAATAATATGTTCGCAAAATGGCAGGTCGAGTTGTGAAGGCGAATTGTGTTGCACGCGCATGAAACCGGGGTGACAACTTACAAATTGTTATATATTCAGTTTATTAATACGCGAATTATAATTATTTTTTTTTATTTTTTAATTAAGATTAAACGTAAAGTAAGATATCAGTATGGTGAATTTACTTCTTTAAAAATCTAACATATAGTTAAAAATTCATATTTCATTTTTTCTTTATTAATCTTAATTTAAGTTTCACGACTTTCAAATATTTTATCTATTATTTATTATGGTATATTATTAATATAAATAATGGCAATAATGTATTTTAATGTGAAGAACATATATCTTTTCGTTTTTTCATTACTTGCATCTACTTTGTAGATTTTGAAATCTAAGCTTAAGAATTTAATCTAATTAACTAATAAAATAATTTTTATAAAAAATGTTCTATTATTAAAGATGTTTTAATTTTATAAAAAATTATTTTTAATTACAATAATTATATATTAATATTAGTTTCTCGGGAAATAAACTGGCTCTTCTTTTACAAAGTCTTGATACTTTGAATTATATTTGCTACAACATTATATAATGTATGTGTGTATATGTGTGCGCGTGCGCACGTGTATGTACAGTAACAAACTTTCACAATTTTCTACGGGGTGAAAAGATTTAAAAGACGGAGTGACTTGCCACCGCCGGATGTTCCTCGAAGATTTTAATTGTTTCCTTTTTAATTAGACTCCTTTGGACTCGCTTTAAAGTGGTCGTAAAAGTGGGTCAGCAGCAATGTGATTTCTCGCTTCAGCAACGCTCTCGCTCGGTTGAAAGAAAGGGAGAGAGAGCGGAGGGACGAGACGGAAATACTTATCGGACAAAGAAACGGTATCCTGCCGAATAGCACCAGGTATATTATCGTTACTCGGGTGTTTAAAGGAGCCCGTTAATGGCGTGTACGCGAAACTGCTGCTAATTAGCATCGCTATACACGCCTCCATACGTCATCGTTTAAACCGCATTGCCTAAATCCGTGAAAACCAACGTTAAATTTTCCTAATTTTCACGCTTTTTCCCCCGGATTTATTCCTTGAATATTAAGATATAAGATCCATTTTACATTATACATTATGCAAAAATAAATGGTATATTACCTATGTTTGAAATAAAGCAATTATCAATAAAGTATTAAAATATTACGCTTGCAGACATTTTGTGGAGCGAATCTTCAAATTTTATTTCACGAAGATATTTCAGATGTTAATTTATTTTGTGTATATAGTTTCGTCTAGAGTAAAACATTTCAACAATTTCAATGTATCGTCGAGAGCGATTTTCAATTTAATCAGATTGAATATGTATCGCATATTTTATAACAACAGTTTTCCACGTGGCTTTTAATAGTTAGTTAGTTTAAAAAATTATTATAATTTAAAACGATTATATTAGATTTTTTACGGATCTTCGAGGAACTTTCCCCTCGCTTTTCCGCCCAACTATGAATATGTAGTATATCCAGTCAACTATATTCGCGTATGAGATGTTAAATTTATCTCGAGTTATATTTATTTAGAAGTAAGAGTGTCACCCCGCGTTCGAACGCGATCAACCCGCCTCGATGCGAAATACGCGACACAGCCGTTTCGATTTGGAGATGCGACGATATGCAGGGCATCTCGGAATCACCAAATATCCATTCCAATATCCGAATAAGCGCGAGTAAATATTTACGATTTAATTTCACTTAAATTTCAATTTGGCGATTCCGAAGATATCGGTCGCAAACGGCGTTCGACAGAACGCAAGAGGCACGGTGTATGTATTTTGTACATCATGAGGTAAACAAAGGACAGTTTTGAGAAGCCAAGGTCTTGTAACGCAAAACAAAAAATGGCAATATACTTGGTATTATAAAAAATAGGATTATGTACCTCTGCGAGCGAGGTTGCGTCGACTTATAGCTGACTCTCGTTTCGTTCGGTTCGTTCAGGAGGAGGCGTAACACGATTGGTAGTAGTAGTGGTAGCGGTAGTGGTAGTAGTGGACGATAGCGGTAGTAGTCGATAGTAGCTGACAGTGGTAGATAGCTGAGTCGGTAGTGGTAGTAGTAGTAGTAGTAGTAGTAGTAGTAACGTGTACGTATACGCGACGCAGGGCGCTGGTTCGGCGATCGGCTTGCTCTAACTTGACGGCAGAGTAAGCAAGACGAATAATTGTTACACATCCAACAGCAGTGTTGCGAGTAACACTACTCAACAATAGACACCTTGTAGAAGTTATGGCATGAATGTGCGTCAGATCCGATTTCGATTTTCGTATAAATGTTTCTATTCCTAGAATCCGCGCGCAGATAATAAGAAAAAGATAACAGGAATGTGAATTCTGATTGATTTCGATTAAAACACTGATTAATAATCACGTCTAGATTTCCAATTTAACAGTTTGATAACTTCAGATGGGACTCAAAGATATTGTAGCGAACATTTTCGTAGCAGTTCGTTGTTTAATATATTTTGATGAAATTTTTGGGAACACATATAACACATTTCATTTTACATTTAACCTCCGTTAAATATGTCACCGTTGTTAAGCATTTATAAATGATATAAAAAGACATGTGACAAAAAATCTAGACATATTGATATTTTTATTATAATTTCGAAATATCAGGGAGTCTCTCATAACAATTTGGGATCCTTCACTTTTTACTATACTTCTACAAAAAGAAAGTTAAATTTTGTTGAGTAGTGTAATCTGGGGGAAAATATTAGATTTGTCATTATACATATATCGGAGATATTGCTTCATAGCTTTCAATATCGCAGAGAGAGAAAAGTAGGACAATATCCTAAAGTATCAAACAAACTTTAATAACAAAAGAGTTTTAAAGAAACTCAATTACTAGCCAAATATTCAAAGATTTAATAGCACAATAACAGCCAAAAAATTGATATTTTCCATTTTCCTAAACTAATATTCACATATATGCACATACCCTCAAAACTTTTGTTCTAATAATACGTACATTATTTTTGTTTTTTTAATAATACATTTATTATTTTCTATACCCACATAATAATATAATTTTCATTCTATTTTCGTCATGAATTACCTGCATTTGGATTGCATTATCTTGAATCTATTATATCATAAAATATTGTCCGTTACTGTGTGTGTGCGAATACTATATTTCACGAGGAAATAAATTGATTGCGTAATTGATAATTTTGTTAATATTATATATTTTCATTACTCTTAATAATACGCAATTTTCCGATCCATCAGAAATACGGTTTATATAATTATAATTGTAAACATGCGAAACAATTGATATGAAATAATTTTCTTATTCACAAAAACCGATCAATAGAACGTGCTTTCTGAAAATTGCAAATTAATGTGATTGAAAAAAATATTTAAAATTGCATATATAAATTTAAAAAAAAAAACTGAATAAAAAAAGAGATTATCCGATTAATTTTAAAATTGTGAAAAAAATAAATTTCGAAAATATGCCAAATAATACACATATATAAAAAAAAAAAAACCTGGGAAATCTGAGACATTTTAGATGTTTGCCTGTTTTTTACATATATGTACTACTTCAGAGTATCATTCTAATCCTCCATTCGGCGATATTGATAATTATCAGTTCCTTATCTATTTGATCTCTGCTCTTTTGCTATAATCGAGAGATCGTATATAGTGATTGTGTCACAGTGGGCCGACAGGGTTACGTGAAACACACACATCTTACGCTTTACTCTTCCTTAGAACAATGTCGAAAGATACAGAGCGTATCTTTGAAGACGTTAGCAAGAGGATCGCCAGGACGAAAGGCCCCTCTTTTTTTTCTATCGACTCGAGTTTCAAGTCCCGTACGATCGATTTTGAAATTTACTTTCTCTTTCCGTTACGCGTCGAAAGACTCAGCTGGTTCTAGTCAGCGCTACTCTTCGAACACTCGATATATATCCGCTCGCTCTACTCGACTGCTTCGACTTGATAAGAAACACTGTGCGCCCCTCTATGAACTTTCTTAGGGATTATTAGCCTGTCTTTTGATCGGGAATCTAGGATCACGGCGCGGGAGATGCACGAATGCAAAGGAGGGGAGATATTGATTAATCTCGAGGGGAAGTGAAGAGATGGAGGGGAAAAAAAATGTTTTTCTCTCTCTCTTTTTAATTCTATTAGGGTTCGTTTTTCGTTGATTGGCTCTGGTGACTTTTCTGTATGCGACTGGGGGACTTTTATGAGTCGGGTCATATGTTATATACATCGAGTGTTCCAAAACTACACAACAAGCATGCGTTACAGCTGTAAATTCAATCAATATATTGATAAAGTAAAATTATATTCTTCTTTATAAATATTTTTACATTTATTAATGCGTGAAAAGCATATCTTACAGTGTATTAAATTCTACTCAAAATTATATACGAAAAATAACATTTTGCCGCATGCATCGTGTTGCATTTGTTAGCGTTTGCCATAAGCTGAATTTTTAAAAATCTCTCTTCTCGACTTCATTAATAGAATTTTTAAATACTTAATATACTAAGAAATTTTTTTTTTTTTTTTAATCTCGCTTGTTCCAACTATTTCCGGTAGTTTTGGAGCACCGTGTATACCGATCGGTCAAGGACAATTCGCGTGGATTCGCACAGTAATGTGGCTTACCTTGCGAAGCTCTTGAATGCCGCGGATTGCGGATTTATGCAGAGCGGCACTCGCGTTGTGTTCAACTGCTCCGCTATAAATTTGTGCATCTCCTCTGAAACAGACAATGATGTACCGGTATATGAGAGAATGACGGAGGCGGAATGCCGATAACTACGCGATACAGTTTCTCGTGGCCGAGCTAGTGACACCGTAAACAACGCCATGGTTCACGTCCTGATCGCGCAGTCAGCGCTAAATACGGCTAAGTGGTTCTTATCTGCCGTCGATGTATCTTTAGAATTTTATTATTACAATCAGCTTTACCACACAATCGTTATTTAAATCAGGAAAAATTTAAAATTTAGAAATATTTTTCTTATAAAACGAAAAGTTTCTCGAAAATACTTTTTCACATTTTATTTGTATTTTTTGAAAATAATTGAATTGATAAATTCAACTTTTAATCAAACACAATAACGGAACCTTGATTTTAATTTTTAATATAATTCATATCTAATAAAAATTAATTAGGAAATAATGAAGAGGAATAAGCAATGTTTTTAACGTTACTCATCGATTCACCGTTCTTCGGCGCGTCGTTAACGATTATAGCTTGAGAAAGCATGAGAACCTCACGATTCTCAGCCACTAGGCGCTGCTTAGATAAACTATGATTTATCGTGACACGCATACAGGCGAGCGTGTTTATCGCGGTTATTGTTCTCGAATAGTGCAGCCACGTGCCTAAGATACTTATTGTGTACGTCATTATCTTTTGATACGCGAGACATTCTTGCGACGATATATCGAGATTCATGCCGCAATTTGTATCGCAAAAACGAGCTTTCAATTATCAATTATTACGCTTCACATAAAATTTAATGTGGAAAATAAAATACGACGTAAAAAAAAACGCTAAATTATAGATATCAAAAACAAGAAGTAATTTCTTATTTTTACATAATATTTTTACATAATATAAACATATATGTATATAAATTTTAAACTGATATATTATTAGAAATAAATTAAAGTTATTCATTTTATAAAAATATAAAAGAGATAACCCTCCCTAATATATATTCGTTCTGTATATCTATCATAAAAGTTTTATTATTTTTGAATAACATTATAAATAAATCATAAACGCATTTCCAGTCCCTCTCTTTATCATTAAAAAATGGTTTCGCAAATAAAACATAAATATCTATTAAAAAAAAAAAAAAATACAACACTCGCGACTCTTTTTTGTCGAATCTTTGATACCGTGAATTTTCTCACCTTTCACTTGCTGCACGCTCGTGAGCTTTCGCTCCCAGAGATCGTCGAACGGATGGGCGGCCGAAGGCTCGAAATCCACCCTGTACTGTCTCATGCCTGCGCTCGTCGTGTAACAGCACGTGCACATGCATGAATGATACCGCAACCGTCCCTCGTCCAGGTAAGGATGCGCCAGGGCGTCCACCACGGTGATCCTCTTATCCTGAGCAATAATAGGATAGGGAACAGAATAAATGAATATTCGTAAAATGGAGGACAAAGTGCCAAATTTTCGTGCCGGACGCAAACGACAGAGCGAAACGAATTTCAGTTGAATCAAGAGTGATATGTGGAGCAGGAACGTGCGTTTTCCGACCATGTATTTTGATTATTATCAATCTAAATAAATATACAAAATTAATGACTGAAATTAACAATCATAAAGCATGAAAGCCGAGACTGTACTAATTATTGTTAATTGAAGTGACAGATGAATTTCACAGAGGAAGATAATAATAGCCTTATAAAGAAACATGGTAGGATCGACAAATGTGAAATTTTCATCAATTAATTAAATTAAGAATTAAATAGAATATCTGTACGAGAAAGTTTCAAGAGGATCGTGTTGCTTAATTCACAGTGTAATTCTTTTTAGAGTTCTTTATATCCAGTGTATATATAACAAATCTTTTAAAAAACTCGGATTGGATTATTACATTCTAATTAGAGATATGCAAGTGTCATATACATATAATAAAATATATACACTGAAATATATATTGAATTTCCAAGACTTCTCTCATTGAAAAAGTGATACAAGAATCGCTTAAAATTTTTTTATCGAATGATGAATATAAAATTTAATTAAATATGAAATTTAATTTATATAAAGAAATAATCGAGCGCTATTTCGTAAGGCGAACTTACGGGATCAAAGACTAGCATCTGGCAAAGCAAATGGACGGCCTCGTGCGTCGCCTGGCTGCTGAGATTATACAGAGTCGCGAGCGACGGCGGCTTCTGCGCCCTTCTCAGCATATGAGACTTCGCGCCCTCGCATGCATACCTCATCTCCTCAAGAGTAGGCGAACCCAGCAGTTCCGTGATTAACTCGAGCTGCAACCAAAAATAGAATGCGCATTTTTATTTCAACTTCCACGCGCGAGTACGCTTTCTTCTCTTGAAATCTTATAAAATATATTCGATCGCTGATCGAGACAAGCATCTTTAAATGATCAAGTAACCACGGAGTCAGAATCGGAAGATAATTAATAATTTTTTTTTTAGATAATTAATAATTAATAAATTAATCGATGTAAACGAGATATTAGTATTCTCTTACCTGTTGCACGGGGCTCTGGGCCTGGAAGAGGATCCGCCGGCGTAGCAGCTCGCCGAAGATGCAGCCGACGCTCCACACGTCCACCGCGGCGGTGTAGTGCCGCGCGCCCATCAGGATTTCCGGCGCGCGATAATACTGTGTCACCACTTCCTGGGTCATGTGCACGTTCTGATCAGGCTCCGCCACCCGCGCCAATCCGAAATCACAGATCTGGGAAAATAAAACGTACCCCCCCGTTGTGTTTTTGGCCGCTCGACGTAGCTTTTGCAAGTAGATAAACTTTAGAGTAAAGCTCGAATAAAGAGATCTTCTCGTCATATTCTCATATTTTTTTGTTGTTAAATTAAATGGACAGAGACTATGAGATGATTTAAATCGAGACTCACTTTTAGTACGCAATTGCTGTTCACTAGGAGATTCCCGGGCTTGATATCCCTGTGAAGAATTCGGGCCGAGTGAAGATACTTGAGGCCTGAAAGCAAAAATATATATATCTTAATTATAGTCACTGCAAAAAAAAAAAAAAATAAAATAAAATAAAATAAAATAAAATATCAATTCTTTTGATCATCAAACAAGAAAAATACATGGAAGATATAGAGTAAAAGCCACTGAAGAGCTTATTTTAAACCGTTTTCATGAGTAACAATAACGAATAATTGCAAATTTCGAAGAATTCTCATGAGAAAAGCAATCAGAATTAAATTATCGATTCGCTCGCTTTAATAAATGCAGCAACAACATCGTAAAACATCGATGGGAATTACACAAGAGCATGGAGCTTTATCGATCGTGAAAGTTGATGCGATCGCCGCAGTCTCGCTCATACGAGACTGCGAAAACGATATTGATGGAAGAATTTTTCACGCCGGCAGTGATGAGCTGACAAAACATCGGAATTGTGACATGACATATCGTTCGCGTCGACGCGAATTCAATTTTCGCGCCGATGAAAATTCGGGTCACTTCGGAACGAAGATTATGTCGGGCTTAATCAAAAATAGGTTATTGTTTTGTCGAAAATGTTCGCCGATTAAATTCGGGCTGTGCGGTTCTCGCGCAAATGCGACACTGATAACCGGATTTGCTCGCTTTACTGGAATAATTACGACGCGTAAAAGTGTTTATAGAATCATCGTTCCTTTTTGCATTTTAATCGCCCTCATTGAGATATTAAAAATATGGCTTTTATATTCAGCAACTCTTACGGAATGCATGTAACATGGTAATACGATTAAGATATTTTTCTGCCTCTAACATTTTGCCACCACAATTATTTGAACTATTAGATTTCATTTATGTTGAAAATATATTCGGAAAAATTACAAGAAAGAAAATTTATAAAGTCAAGAAGTCAAGAAAAGACTTTATGATATTATAAATTGCAATTTTATAATTTCGTAAATTAATCCCGATTAACTTTATGATATTATTAAACGTAAACTATATATAACAGTCGAATTACAATATGACATATCGCTTCTTAATATTCTTAATAAATTTCACATACAAGTTTCATTCTTTTATATTATACTAACATACAAGTACAAATAATATATCGATATATATTTCGCGATCGATTAAATGTACAACATTATATTTATAATTTAAATCCTGAAAATTTGAAAATGATTATAGGTAGAGAAGCAGGTTCCTTTGTTTATTCAAATTAATTATTTATAGTATGCAGAAATTTAACAGCCGATAGACCGCTTGGTTGAGAGAAAAGTCGGGACGTTGAATTAACGATAAACCGTAATGTTGCCCCGTTATCGATCGACGAATATTATAAAATGGGATGAAATAGTGTTCGTGACGTTTCAATTCGAACACATTTCCTTCGCTCATTTTAAAATAAACGAGTGACGCACATGACGCTTTAATTAAATAATCGTTGACAGTCAACGTATAGTGTGTGTATAGAATTAATTTTTTTAATTAGTTTATCATTAATAGCAATCGACATAACTTATAGACATTACGCGGGAGCTTTTTCGCATCCCTTTCTTTCCTCGCCTCATTTCGAACGGGTGATTTCTCTCCCGCACGCTGAGGGTGAGAAATGACAGGTTGAGCGGCAACGTAAGCAGGATCGTAACGAGATTCCTTTCGTGTTTCATGATCCATCCCTGTCAACGAATCGATTTTCACTCTTCATTTGCATTTGAAAATGCAATTTTATTTTATGAAACGCGTATGTTAAGATACAACACATTGACAAGCTAAGTTGAACAATGTTCAGTTTTTCTTTAATTTTGTTGCGATATTCATTATAATTTAAATAAAATTTTATCAAGAGAATAAAATATAATAACAGACTATTGAAAAATTAATTATTATGGAATACTATTGCAGACAAAATAGAATAAAATTTAACGATTTTTACGGATCATGTGATTTATATTTGTTTATCTTCAGATATATAATATAATATATCCAATAACTTATATAATTTATTACACGCATACGTGTCTCTCTGAAACACACTTTCGTCTCCAATTACGATCCTAAATATGAGTCACGCTACGAGCACGTTCGGGCCCCAGTCTTTCCGGCAATAAAACTCGGTTATACCGAGGATAATCCGTCGTTCTGAGGGTGGTTTGGTGAGCCCGGGATGTGTTCCGAATCCGCCCTGTCGTAATTAAAGTTTCTCTCGTCCGGGTTTGCTATATCGAACGCCGTTCTTATTATCGTGTCCGTTCGCACGCGATTAACTCGCATCCCGAAGGCTCTCTCGCCTAACCGGAGTCTTTATGCGCGTTTATCCAAATAGCGTGAAAAATGTATTTAACCGTGTCGCAGCTTTTATTCGAATATTAAATTATTGCAAATAAATTCGTGTTATTTCTTACGAACAAAATATTTCGCGTAAATGTGTAAAAGAAAAAAAAGCAGATTTGTGTGTAAGTAGACGGAAATACACGCGAATACTTGCAAATACACGAATTTTAGAAATAATATATATATAATAATAATAATAATAATGAGTAGCATAAAGAGAGAATATCCTAAAATCATCTAATATTCTCCTCAATGACAAGGAATTAATAATTTGAAAAGAAAAATTATTGATAATTGAAAAGTTATATAATATAAATCTCTTCGTTTTCAGTTAATCTCATTAAAAATCGTGACCTGTATTAAAGATTTCATTAAAAACGTAAGTGTTAAGATATTTTAAATAATCTTGCATTTTTATCGATGTCGTGCCTGTCATGTGTTGTATAGTCAACTATGTCACTATATCATCGATAAAATCCGGCGAGATTTGACAACGTCAAATAAAACGTGAATTTGGTTAATATCGGACGATTAATTAGCCGCACACGCGGCCGTTAATTAAAGTCCATCAGTAAGCCACTTATGAATATCCCGATTATTTAATGTCGTTTATCATCGAAATTAGTCGACTCGCATACTCGTCTCGCTATCGATGCAAATTTACGCGCACGTCATTTTGTTACACCGATAACGCAAGTATGAGAATTCTCTCTTTCTTTTTTTCTAGATTAACGTAAAAAAGAAGCGATAAAAGAAAACAATTAATGTTGATTAGCTATGGACGAGTTTTCCGACGAGAACTTAAATTATGTTCATTTGACTTTGCGTATAATCAGCCTCAAACCCCTCTCCCTCTCTTTCTTTTCTTTCCATTTAAATTGAATTAATTTAATCGCATGTCATGCCAATTAAGCAAAGGATTGATGAAGGATGAGCAAGGCAAAAAAGATAGCCAATATTGAGAAAATCAATGGAGTTTCGCCCCATGAAAAAAAAAAAAAAAATCAGGTCGATCGGTCGACACGACGATCCTTGCCTGAAGAATTATTATTATTGCTATTGTTATATGTAACGGAAAAACGACCATGAAAAATCGGCCTGATTATGAGCACAGATTGCTTTTATCCAAAACTGCCGAATAAAGTCGCCGACGACCTTGAAGTCGATAGCCGAAGCGAAATCAGGGTTCCCCGAAGGAAGACCTTGACTTTCGTACGTCGATAATTGAGGATCGTCGACCTTTGTCGACGGCCGGATAGAAGAGGAAAGAAGAAATCTGCCGGCCGACCAGTCGGCCGACGCGAAATTATTCTGGCTATTTAGTGACCCTTCCGCATATTTTTGAGTATTCAAAAAGTTCGTTTCATCGAACATAGTTATTCCAAGTCCGAATATTTTATCGAATACGAATAAGTTACTTAAATATTTCATATATTAAATACATATGAAAATTACTTACAGATTTATCTTTCCTTATTCGATAATTAAATAAAATTAAATAAATAATTTTTCATATATAATTCTATATTAATATAAAAAAATCCATGTGTGTATAAAATTTAATATACATAATTTGTATATAATTCTTACTCTCAAGTTCTATTAACTAAACATTCGCGATTGTATTCCGATAGCGAGTATTCGAATATCATACTGCGCGGTACGTATATAGTTATCGTATAAGCGCAATGCTACTGGCGGTTAATTTTGATACCCGTGGCCACGTCATCGCAATCGCGTCGCCGTAAACAAGAAACCTTGCACCGCGCGAATTTATTTTTGGCGAGGCCGATAACCGCGTTGCACACGCGCAACCACCTGAGTTTGCTCTTTTTAGTCAGCCAAATTTCTCTTTCTTCTTTAGATTGAGATCTATTTATTCGTTAAATTCGTATAATCTCGAAATTGATGAAGGAGCAAATTTGTAATTCGCACGATGATTATTCAACAGAAATGCATGGAAGCCCGCAATAATCGGTTGCATTGAAAGCTCTCAAGTTAACGGGCAGTTAATCGGTCGGCGCTTCATGTTAATCACTTCGCATTAATCACTCGATATTAAGCCTCCCCTCGACTAATTTATCTCGCGTATCGCGGATATGCAAGACAGAAAAGAATTTGCATAATGGGCGCCGTTGCGCAGCTTCCTGTAACACGAATCGGAGTTTGTAAAGTGTACCTTAAATGTCACATGTTAAACGGCTGTCGAGACGTAACAACGTAATATAATGCCGCCGGTAATACCGCCGTTAATGTTACACGTGCGGGAACGACGTTATACTGTGATTGCGAGCTTTTACGCTTCCGTCGAAACTTCACTCACCTTTGTCAAATTTTCTCGTGAACCCTTTCTACTTTCACACTTTCCGAAACTGTTAAGCATACATAGTTAGTGGCCGTTGAATTAGGAAATTAAAATTATGAATTTTTTAAAATTCGATTAAAAGGATAAATAGGATTACGAGTCTTCACAAAAATCAAAATTTTCAAGAATCAAAGAAAAAAATATATATTTTGTTAATGTAACATCATCATTATATCTTGAATTTTTGCGATGCGTTTATCGAAAACAAGATAATTCCTATAAGTTTCTTTTCTATGCAATTACGCGTTCTTATCTCTGTCGGTAGTGGCATAATTTCACTTGTCAAGATAATTGACACATGTCGTATTATTCCATTTAATGAA